GTAGAGAATCTGTAACAAAACATAGAACATTAGAATTTGTATTTAAAAGCAAAACAGAACTTTAAGTTCGAGATAATGAAAGATTCTTACATTCTTGGCTTTGAAGCCACCGTTGGATTTTCTCCAAAATATACCAAAAAGTTGATGCTGTGAAGCATCTGTAACAAAATGTCAAACGTTATACTTTGTTGTCAAATTTAAAAAATTGAATAAATTGAAGTAGAATATATAAAACTACTTACGATCTGGATCTCCTGAAGAGACCTTATCCTCTTAAGCACTGACTCTAATATATCGAAAACGAATGTTGAATAAGAAAAAATATAAAAAAATAAAAATAAAAGACTATCAACGCGCGCGTTGTAGCGTAACAATCGACGGACTCACTGACTCTATCTTCGCGAATTGTAATTTAAATGAATGAGTAATCTAATTTAATAAAAGCCACATTGCTCAGAAAAAATATTAAAATATCGTGCAACAAACACTGACTCTACGACCGCATTGCGCGCGGCCACAAAAATTTTCTGAAAATAAAGCTGATTAGTAGGGGGAGGGCAAAGAGCACGTTCGTTTAGAAAATACTGCTATTTTTCTAGAAAATAATTGTAAACTTGAGTATACATTAAAGGCATTAATTAGAGAAATTATAAAGTATTTCTCAATATTTGTAGAAATTGTATTCTGAATGTTTGTTATTGAAATATGAGATAGTACATTAGTAATATATCACGTCGTGTGTTATAAATATTCAAAAATGTTTGCATAAATCAAAATTTCACAGCTAAATGTATTTACAAAATCATACACGTGTGAAATCTTGCTTTGGATCGTTCAATTGCGTGTCAATGTTCAGAAAAAGCAAGTATATTGTAGCAAAGTATAATAAAACTGAATTTAATACCAGAATATATGTTCATTTAAAAGTATATACCATTAAGCTATTACGATTTCTATATATATAATTGATTTAATCTTTTTTATTTTCATCGTTGTATCCCATATAATTACAATTATGTAAATGACGTATTGTAAATTACATCTTAAATATATATAAATTACGTATAATATATATGTATAATAAATATATATAAATTACCAAATGTTACCAAGAATGAATAAAATACTACCAACTTTCCATGAAAGGTTCATCAGATTGTTCATTAATGATAATGATCGTGGCGTCTATGCATTCTATCTATGCATCTATGCTATCTTTGCGATCAAGGAATAACCTGTGCAAAAGGAAACCAAAAATTAGAATAAATATGTCAAATGAAGGCAAATATGTAAAAGTGAAACGATAATTAATTTCAAATTTTATTGAAAAAGCAAGAAAAAGTACCGGTAACCGTAAGAGTGAAATCGATGATCGAAGAAAAATCGGCACGAAAAGCCTCAAAATCCTACTCGTTTTTTAATTTCGTTATTTAATTTCGATGCTCAATGAATCGTCAAACACATGCGTATTAATTAAATGATATTATTAACGGTGTATAAATGAAAGTAGAAGAGTGTCGAAGAAGCAACGCCAACGATAGGTTATGAACCTAATGCGACGTAATACGTGTTACTATCGTGAAATTCGATAGTCGAATGACACGCCGCGACACATAACTCGTCGTCTAACAATTGAGGAAATAGTAGAGGGGATAATCCTGAACGAACAGGCACGATAATTAAGACGAACAATTGTGTTTATGTTTTGAATTTCAAGCTTCAAAGTCTTCTACGCCTTATTTAAGAAGTGAGAAATTCTATTATATTACATTCTATTATATTATATTATATTAAATATTATAAATTGTGAATAATTACACTAAAAAAGTTAAGTTGAATAAGTATATGAAGTTAAAGACTCAACGAATGAGTAAAAAATGTTACAATAGAAGTAAAAACACATATAATAATAAGTCAGTCGTATCACAATATTATATTTGTATAATGGTTAGAATTGAAATTAAATTTTAATATAGAATTATAAATAACTCTTAGGATGGTATATTCTGTTTAAATGTTTATATCCCATTATTTCATTGTTGAAGATTATATGTAATTTGGTTAAATCTTATCTTTACTAAGCCAAACGTTTTATCTTCGCAATACAAACGATGATTCTTCTGGAATACTTTCTTCTTTACAGACGAGGTGTGCTTCCTTCTTTGAATCAATCTAATCGAATATCGATTATGAGACTCGAGAATCGTAGGAAGTGTTCCGTACTTCACCGTAGGGGCGCTGTAATCGCATGTTTTGCACAAAATGATAACTTGGAATAAAAAATAAAAAATTCTGGTCTAAATTAAATACACAAAATCCATGAGAAATTCTTAAAAAAGGACGATAATATTCACACTTGATGAAAAATTGTTAATGCTTTAAACTGTTATAATTTCCGTAAAAGTAAATATTTCACGCGTTAAAATGTGAATATTTTCTTATATTGTCTTTCATGAAGTTTATAACAGATTAAATTGTGAAAAATCTTTAACAAAACATAATTTCAGCATAAAAATTAAAAATCTAAAAATTGAGAATTTAATGATTTTATGAATCATGTTAAGCACTTTTATTACATTATTTACTTCAATATTAAATTAAAACTTTTATACTTTTGTTTGAATAAATATTAATAATAGTTCAAACAAAATACAAAATAAATAAATAATAAAAAATAAAATAAACTAGAATTTCCGTAACAATGAACGTCCATCATTAGAGTTTTAAATAAATTTCAAACTATTAAAGTATTAATAAAGACACAACAAACGCGCAGAAGCATCATTTATTCAAATCTGACCATTATCGACTAAATGCGAAATAAATATCACCAATTATCCAATAAAAAGCAGAAACAAATGTATAAATACGTATAAATACATACAAAAATGTTATTACAGCTTCACAAGTTTGTTACTAATTTTATTCCTTTTGAATTCCACAATATCCTTCTAATGCTCCGACATTTTCTTCATAATCAATCTAAAACGAAAGAAGACGTATCGTAGCGACGTGAATGTATTGAATAAATTGATTATACATACATAATAATTTTTAAATAATTCTTAGTGTATTTAATCATAAACATATTTGACAATTTAAATGAAGTCTAAAAATTATTGATTGTAATTTTTACCTGATAATTTCTAGACGATTCTTCTTGCTACGTTTCCCGGTTAAAATTGACGTTCTTACGTTACATCCCAATATTCTAGATCAATTAGAAGAAATTATATCGATTGCGATTGGATATCGATTTGAAATTAATCGCTAGTAAACTTCGATATTACGCGTCTATTTCAAAGATACTTATTTTAACTGGAACTAGTTTATTAAATAAAACAAATGATTTAACAAAATGTTTTCTCTTAATATTACATAAAATTGTTTTTGTTAACTATTATTTTTCATTAATGACTTTATATTATTGACTTACTGCAAAATCCCACAAGATGCCGCATCTACTCCATATTTTATCTATGGTGATATTTATCCTTTATTCGCATTAGATGTCTCTACAATCGGATCACAATAAATGAAGTTAAAAAATTAAATATTATTGTATTTAATTGTTTCTAACAATAAATAAGAATGTTAAATTCTGCCATGAACGAACGTGAAAGTCAGTGCCAAAATTTAGATAATTTTACAAAAAAGATTCATCAAGAAATTGTGGAAATTACTTCTTCTTTGAATTGGACGATGGAAAGTATAAAAGCTGATGTAAGTATTTTGATATTTCATCAATATAAAAGCGAAAATACTTTATTTATTACATATTTGTTTAGAATGATAATATGCTGGTTTGTCCATACGATTCATCTCATCAAATTAGCAACAAAATATTATATCGACATTTGGAGTGCTGTCAGTGGAAACAAGAAGGTTACAATGAATTTGATATTCCTCTGCCTGAGTCATATTTGCCATTGAACTCATATTCTTCAATAAAATTAGGTATGTATTGAATTTTATAAGAATCAATTTTTAATTCAAATAATACAATTTATGATAAAACTTATTTTAATTATAGATTCTAAGATGCAAAACAGTATTTTACAACGAGAAAAAGAGAAAGATCCAACCTTGAAAATTGGTTAGTATATTGCATATGAAATTCAATCCTGAAATTTTTACAAGTTTTAAATCACTCCATTTTTTGCAGCAAATTATGAATGTCCTACTTGGCACAAGCTCTATATATCCTTTTTCATGTTCTTTGCCACATATTTAAATAACATTAAATTCCTTATATTTCCTTATTTTATTTATGTTTAAAATATGTAGTTTCTTTCAAAACATGAATTCTTAACACTGATGATAGGTTCGGATGAGCGATTAATTCCAAGAACATCCAATAGAATCTTCACAGATTTTACGTGTGATGAAAGGAAAATTTTATATGATTATGTTACTTCAAATACAGTCAAGCCCGACATTGGCCATGATATTACGGATATTCAGAAATTGTAAGTTGGTATAAACAAAATATACTTTTTCAAGCCTTACATATGCAATGTCTTGTAATATATTTAAACACTTTCAGAAAAAGCCACGATAAAGAACATAAGAAATTATCCTTTTTGGAATTGCTTATACAAGAACGTAATTTAAAAAGACGCCGGGCTAAGCACAGGGGTGTGCATACGAATAAAAAATCTCATATAGAAGTTCTCAGGGAAGTTATCCAACAGCAGATGAAGTTATATAGCGATTATTTAACAGAACGTACAACTGATGACAAAACTATTACCGAAACTCAAAATTCCAATAATAGTCCTAATGACGTAGTCAACAAATTTCCATCAAAATACAATGATGATCTTACAGAAGATCCGCAGGATCGACGCGGTAATTCTAGTTCTCAATATAATAAGAAATATGAGCACTATGAGAAATCATATACCACTTACCCAAGAGATTCAAAACAAGAAGGGAGTTTACGAAGTACAACAGAATCATGGAAAGCACAAAAGACAAACGTAAAACATAAACATAAACGTAAAAGATCTCATTCGAAAGAACGTAATCACGATAGAAAAAGTAAACACAGATCTACGCGGACACATCATAAAAAATCTCGCAAAAATGAGAAATCTTTCGATAATGATACCTATTCTAAACGAAGTAGTGATCGTCGGGAAAACCATGAAAAACTAATATAATTATTAATCTTGTATGATTATTGATTGAAAGAATATTCTGTATAAATAAAATTATTAACTCCATATAACAATTTCTTCCTTTCCCAATATAGATATATCATTTTAATTATCATTTCACCAACAAAAAAATTATTAACTTACTAACCTTAACAATTATTATTATTTAATGACATATTTTTACATGATTTGCTTTATTTATGCTTGAAGTCTAAATTTTGGTTAGGTTCAACTATGGTATATTTCATTGCATAGCATAGAATATATCGTGTCCCATTGCATTTGACTATAGATATAGTTAGAGTCCATTACGCATTGCCAAACGAGTGCCTTATCATTTGTCAAATCCAAGTACGTACATTATCTAGGTATCATGTTATGTGCTATATTTTGTATTTAAAAAACTATTAATCTATCTTGTCTTATTTGTATCACTATACCTATGATTAATATATATATATACATATATGTATATACGCAGACGCGCATGTAGGCGCGTATATTCAATAAGATTATGGAAAAATACGAAGTTTTAAAACAAGTGGGCGAGGGATCTTTTGGACAAGTGTACAAAGCAAAGAAACGATCTGATGGTGAAATTGTAGCTTTCAAAGTAATTCGGAAGGTAACGCAGTAAATATTCGACCAAACTTCCGGTGATGATTACTTGGTTTTATAATTTTATATATTTTATTCGTTTCATACAAACAAAATCATGTAGCGTGGTAGATCATTCAAAGAACTAAAAAGTTTGCGTCAGGAATGTGAGATTCAACGTCATCTTCATCATCCAAACATAGTACAAATGCTTGATTCGTTTGAAACAGAAAATGAGGTATTGATATTGTTCTTAGAAAGTGTTTGCAGTTATGCATTTCTTATCAAGTATAACTAATCTTTTCTTCAGATAGTTGTTGTGACTGAGTATGCAGAGAAGGAATTGTATGAAATATTAGGTAAAGCAGGTCGTCTGTCTGAACAAAGAGCACAAGTAATAGCTTGTGACCTTGTATCTGCACTCTACTATTTACATTCCAACAGAGTATTACACAGGTCTGATATTTCATCTTTAACAATGTTTCTTGATAATAACAAAAGTTATTTCTGCTTTAGGGATCTTAAACCACAAAATGTACTCTTAGAAAGCAATGGAGTGGCAAAGTTATGTGATTTTGGGTTTGCTCGCAGTATGAGTACAGGGACACATGTCTTAACTTCTATAAAGGGAACGCCATTGTACATGGCTCCAGAACTTATAGAAGAACGTCCTTATGATCATAATGCAGATTTATGGTGTGTTAATTTTTGTAGACAACTTTCACAATATTTAGCAAAGCATATACGTAATATGCAGAATATTTCAATTCTAGGTCTTTGGGCTGTATTGTGTATGAACTAGTTGTAGGGTCTCCACCTTTTCAAACAACTTCTATTCTACATTTAGTCAGATTAATAAGATTTGAAGCAATAAAATGGCCGGATTATATTTCCCAAAATTGCAAACAATTTCTGCAGGTTGTAGCACCTTTATAAACTTTGGAAGGTTTTTATTCTAGTTTGTGTCATCAACAACAATTTTATTGGTAGGGATTATTACAAAAGGATCCTTCGCAAAGATTAACATGGCCAGCTCTTTTAGACCATCCTTTTGTCAAAAATAGGATAGTGATAGTAGGTGAAATTGGACCTACACCATTCACTACACCTTTATCTGTGAGTCAAGCTAGGGAAAAACAATTGCAACTACAGAACTTGGCAATGCAACCTACTGATCATCAGTCAAAGTATATATGTTATAAATAAGATCTAAGTTCCATCAAAATTTAATCTTCTCAGCGAATATTACAAAAATCTTTCCTCTAATACTAATTTTAATTAGTTAATTCAAGAATTAATTATTCTGCTGGTTGAAACTAGTTGCTATTTCTAGAATTAATTTTTAATAGTTAATACTATTATTAAGGCAAGAAATCTTTCATAAAATCTTGACTTTTGAAATTGAGTATAGACATTATTTTCTTTAGAGAATAAGAATTTCATGTGAATATAACGCAGATTTTTAGAGAAAGCTATTAAAAAGTTACAAGAGCATGAAAGAACAATTGAAGAACGTCACCAGAAACCATTCATATCGCATCCACGTTATCCATTATCACATGGATATTGCCATCATGAAATGAATCAATGTTACACTCTACGACATAGCGAGCCGAGTGGAACAGACTCCAGCACTAGCGTCGATGTATTATTAGGAAATCTTAGTTTAAGAGCATCATTAAAAAGCGACTTACTCTCAGCGGATCATGCCTTATGTCGAAGTGATTGCCCGAATACTGGACATTCAACAAGTAAACAAACCATCTTAACATTTGATCAGGTGTCAAATATGAAATTATCTAATTATTTGAATGAACAAAATTCGAGGCAACATCCGGAAGATGAAAAACCAGAAAAGAACGATGGAAATAAATTGAATCTCATGCAACAAATTGTTCCTCGAGAAGTTGAGACAACAACTCACCCTGAAAGAGACTGTGAAAATGACGAATACGCGTGTAATCAAAAACTAAGTAACCAAAGAGACAATTCAGCTAACATTGGAATATCATGTAACAACAGAATACCTGATTGGAATCCAAAAGCCGTTGATAGGCCGATCGAAAATGAAGAATGGATAGCATTTCTACAACGATCCATGGAGGAGATCATGGACGGTGAAGTAGGATCGTTACTTCAACAAAATTGCGTATCGGTGTTTGTATCACCGTTAAGAAACCCAGCAGCCAGTTGTCGAGTTGTTGAATACGTTGCTTGTCTTTTGTCTTTGCCATTCGTCGTATCAGTGACGAAAGATTCTCTTGAGAAGATCATGCAAGTATACTTGGACGTTCGAGTGGTACCAAACCTCGTTTACTCTTTGAAACTTTTAATGTCTGAACGTACCGAATCTGAAGTGGACAAAAAGTCTGAACCAACAAATGCAAACACCAGATCAGCATCCACGTTATCCGCAGACGAGCTGCAAACCTTAGAATACATGATGCTCGTACTTTGCAGATTAGTTTACAATCGACAACAATTTCTCACTCAATTCTGCGACGCTGTTTATATCGTAAACGGAGTAACGTTGTTGCAACAATTGTTGAGTTTGGAAAAGAGAAAAGCACGCGTAGTCACAGACCTTGTTGCAATTTTGAGCAACATATTGCGTTCTCAGCCAGAAAACGCTCATCTCGTGGAAAAAGTTGTATTACATTCGCATTTATCGGGTAAGTTTGTCGATACAAAATTATCATTCCTTTTTTCATTACTGATTTCATATTGATAGATATTTTGATTTGATGCTTTTATTATTTTGCTTCTTTATTTCTTTATCATATTCTTTCTTTCTTTATTTTCTATTATCGCTTCGTTATAATGTGAACAAAATATCTTGTTTCGTAAAAAAGGAAATCCGATAGAACAGTTAGATAAACTGCTCACACATCGACAAGCAGTAGTCAGAATGAGAACTTGTCAGTTGATTAGACTCTTGGCCAGGTTTTCTTGTAGAGCTTTGCAACAAGTCTGGTGTAAATCTCTGAAGAATTTAGTAGAAAGTTTAATCGTTGACAATGATCAGTGTGTAAAACTTGTAAGTAATAAAATTATGATTAAAATAAAACAGATAAGAAACTTGGACCAGTGATGGTTTAAAATGTAGGTTCGTGAATACATACGAGATATACTTTTAGGCCGCCGAAGATGCAATTAAGGAATTAAAGGAATTGATGTACTACAATCAACAAAATCCTGTTACTTGATGTGTATTTTCCTTCGAATACTTTAATATTTCTTTTTTTTTTTGTACTTGACAACAAGAAATATGAATATTGTCATATTTTTTATCAAATTACCGTTATTTTTTATTTTTATTATTCAAAGAGCTGAACTACATCCTACTATCAATTCTGGTATCAATTTTCATGTTCCAATCTGATAAATGACCAGTCAATAGATATATCATCCAACGAATCATCCTCATCCTTGATTTCATTCATTTGTCGATTTTGACATTCCTCTTTGTACATTTTTTCCAACTTCAGCGTATCCTTGCCACTGAGTCCTTTTCGTTGACCAATTTCCACCTCTTCCTTCTACATAGTACGAAAATTATTTAATATGATTCTACGTGATACAATCTATTAAACGAGTAGAAAAAATAGAAGACTGCGCACAATATGTTAAAACAACTGTCCTTTAGGTAAAAATAAGTTAAAAATAATTTTAGGTCTATCATGGAATATACTTGGTTATAACACAGTAACTATCCTTGAACATTAAAATTAAATTATACGAAAATTTCAAAAACTACTACTTTAATTTTTACAATAATCAAATAGCTGAAACCAAAGTAGATAATTCAATATTTTTTTAGACGACGAAAGTTTCTTCCATGTACACATATTTAAGTAAAAAAATATTAGACAATAGAAAATTATTAAAATTATGATTTTCTTTTAATCAGACAGTTGTTTTAATATACTTAAACAGACAGGGTGAGAGCAACGAAAAAATCGAGAGAGGGTAGTAATCGAAAAAGGCTATAAAGAATCAATATTCCACGTAAAAATCTAAATTTAAAATCAATCGAAATCAAATTAGTTTTTTAATAAACGTGCTAAATTCATACCAAATTCACCTAATGTTCGTAGTATTTGACAATGAATTCTATCATTAGTTTTTAACAATGAAGTACTGGATTCGCAGAATTCAATTGCTGATTACTTACTATCGGTGTAATGGTCGGTTCATCATTCTTCGAGAACGCGTAAGAACTATAATGCATTACGCTGCCATAATCGTAACTGATTCCATAGTCCGTGACAGTATCATTGTTATATTTGTTAAAATTGTGCTCCTTTCCTAAGTAAATAACAAGCGTGAATAAATTCTCCAAGCTTTGCATCTTCTCGCTCGATTTGCTAATCATCGAGATCACCGGTCAATTACCTGATTGTATATTCTCCCAATTTATCTTGACCCATTCGTCACGATTCGCGGCACTTTGTTGATGATAAAAGCCTAATGCGTGCAACAGCTCGTGTACGACCACACCATGACGTACACATCCTGAATTTTGTAGGTTCACTACTTGGCCGCGATCGTGTCTGCCAACCAAGGACCAACATCCTGAGTTTTTGCCCTCTATAGTGACATAGTCGGTATCTGCTTTTTTGTAAGGTCGAAAGCGTATGCATGTGTTTTTATGGTATTCTTCTATAGCACCTTTGATCACCTCAATATCTTTTTCATCTACAATGATGATAAAAAAAATTCCAATTTGTTTGTGTTATTAATTGTCAAAGAGTACACTATACACCTCTAAGAAAAGGAGACCAAAGGATTTAAATTAGTCTCTTTAATCGAAACGAAAAGTTTATCTAAGATCTCAAAATAATACTAATTTTTTTTGTTATTATTAATTAATATTAATTTTTAAGACTTTAAGCAGACATGGATGAAAAAATTATCTTAGAAATTGTAGATAATTTTTTGGCTTCTGACGAAGATACAGGGAAATTTGATATTGAGAAAGATATTGATCATGAAACTACATATATCGTTTTTTATATTTTTCTCGAAACTGATCTTCTCTCTATAATTATTCGTGGAAAGAATTCCTAGAGTTTAGGTATTTTTAGGATGAAACATAGTAATGAATTACCGAAATCCTCTTCCCTTATGTAATAGGGTACAATTCCGCCTGGCCAACGAAAAACCTTGTTTATCAAACCATTTTTCACATCATTTTCCTCCGAATGAATCATTATATCTCCTTCGTATAAACCGCTTAATTCCCAAACGTTCTGTTTCTCCTTTTCTGTCCATGATCTAATGCGCTCAGCTAACATTGGGTGGAAACAAATAATCAATCATAATTTTACCTTTCTGAAAGGAATGCTCCTAAGAGAAAATGGTGTACTGATTGTCTTGGTTTTTCAATCTAATGTTAATGTTTAGTTTAACGTTAAATTTGAAAGTATCCAAAGTGGATCACTTGTTATATATATTATATTATATTCTAGATAAAACTTCTATTCAGAACAATATAAAATTCTAGAAACGTCTGCAGTCTATCTATCATAGACATACAGACTCTTTTTTTCAAAAAGCTTCCCAATTACTATCATATACCAATGGTTCGATGTTTGTGAGCTTCGTCGAATTTGCCTTGAAATTTCGGCGCTGGTGGAACAACCTTCTTCCGTTTCAAACCGTAATCAATCGCTTTTGAATTGACACCAATTGTCACTGTTACAATGAACAATATAATTACTATTTTATACATTTTTGTTCGATCGTTATTCCTTCGTTATTGCAGATTAAAATTAAAATACCACCTTCTATCGTAGCGACAACCGTACTTTTATATCTGAACAGAGGTGCACGTACTTAAGTACTCGAGCAAATACACACGTATTTTACCCTCTCTTCGTGTCTTTCATTATCAAACGTTATTTGGTAAAACTTTCTCGCAACCGATATGCACAATCATTGTGGCACAAACAATCTATACAATTAAATGATAAGAGTCCAGTGATTCTCCCTACTGGCGATTTTTCGTTCGCGTAATGAGCTCACGGTCAAGTGGATTTAAACGATAAGAGTTCATTTAATCAGACGTTGGCTAAAATTTGATTCAAATAAATTCAGTTCGTGTAAACGGAGTTCCACTGTGTCGAATCTTATTTCTTATCTTGAGAAACTGCAACTCAACAAATCAATCATGTACTTCTTATTCCTGGAGATACCCCTTTTGTGTGTCAAAACGCTAATTAATTAAGCTTCGTTCCATTCATTCATTCATTCTTCATTATCGTTGAAAAGAATTTTTAAATTTGTACTGCAAAACAATATCAATCATTCAAAAAAAAGGTAAAAGATTAAAAGGGTGCAAATATCTCTGTAACTTATTTTTATTATATTTCTAAAATGTTATGCTTTCAAATACACTTTATGTATTCTGTGTGTCTATATATGCTGGCAATAATGAAAATTCATGTCAAAAGCCAGCGCGTTTCCGTTCTATTCAAAGTAGTACTTTCCCATTTTCTTCTAAAATGATATATCAATGCAAATTTATGGTGGACGATAACGGGATCGCAAAGAGAATATAAATTTGTTTTATCTACTCAACTACTTATATGTACAACTGAAAATCTCTATAACCGTTTAGAGAGCACTAAAAATGAAACGAGTAGTGCATTTTCGTTGATTTTTTTTTTATTTCAATATTGGTTAGGTTCAATGGTACAGGAAGAAAGTGATAGCACATCTCATTGTAATAAATTTATGAACTTCCTATTAGACTTATATTTATTGTTCTACTAAGATTCTATTTTTTTTTCTTTATTGCATGAATTTATATGATTAATATGATTTTGCGATTTATTCTTTTAATCTTGCGTTAACTTGTCAATAAATTAAATTTTAAGAGGAAAAGATTGAGAAGAGAACGAAATTAAGCTCGAAATCAGATGATTATCAGGAAACAAGTGACAGAGCACGAAGCTCGTCACATCAGACATTTACTGTCAAAAGCAGCACAATCAAAACTATTTAGAAACTTAGAAAAAAATTCTTTTTACTAAACAGATAATATGAAGAAGTAGCATCTGCAAGAAATAATAGCCAAATATTGTTTTTAGAATTCTCAAGCAGTATTTTTAAAGTCACAATTCTATCCAAATAGAATTAATTCTCCCTCTAATCTAAAGTAGTTTTAAACCACTTAAATCTTTACTAATAATCCTTACTAATAATAAAAAAAAAAAAATGTGATTTACAATGGAAACAAAAGTTGGAAACAAAACTGGGAACAAAAAGCTAGCACGATAGGGATGACGAAGATAAGATGACAACGATGAAATCGGTATCGTATATACCTATGTAGGTCAAAATGATTCGGTAGTTAATCGTGTAATCCAGTATATGGACATGTCATCTCGGAATCATTTCGTGCCTTTCTCCCCTGCTCTCGCGCTCTCTCGCTATATTCTTGTTAGCTTTCGATCTCCGCCTCGATCGTCGTTGTTACTACATATCGTTCGTTTATATTCGAAGATAAAAGTCAAATGGAAAAGTCTCACATTGGTTTGCAAGTTCTTTCGACGAAGAAGGACTTTCGAATCGGTATCTATCGATCAAAGAATTCGATGCACATTCGAGCCTCTAGTTACAAAAAGGAAAAAGGAAAAAAAGAAAGAAAGAAAGAAAAGGAACGATTTGATTTCGTAGCTAATAGCTTTCGTAACAGTTCTACATTTTGATTTTCGAATAGCGTGAAGAACAGGAATGTCGGGTGTCGCGTGTTGAAGACAATCATTGGTAAATTTGTAATCATGCTTGAAAATCTTTTCAAAGAGCGATCCAAGCAAGGTCAATGACCAGCCTGTTCCAGATTCGAGTAGGAGCTCCACATAGCCTAAATTCTAACCGGATTTCTTGGAACCGCAAGCAAGCAGAATGGTTCTTTCGCGTCTGTAACGATCGGTATACCTTTTTCAAGTAGGTATAACGACGGCTAACGTTCGACTCGTCCGAACGATTCAAGATCCGCTTCTCTCTATTTTTCGCTCGTCTTCGTCTTCGCGTGAAATCTCGCTCGTACGATTAATTATCTGGCGATTAACAAATTTAGCGGATCATCGTGCACTCACGCGATATTTGAAGACAAAACCACAAAAGTGGACGGAGTGCGTCGCGATATATAAAAATATATAAAATGAAATCCTCGTTAGGAAATTGCATAAAAATCGACGATCATTTGTCGATCTTGGGTATCTCTAGTACCTCATGAAAGTATTTGTACATTTACCATAGAAAAGTTTCTTACTGTACGTGAAACATTCCGAACATTTGATTACCATTTCACGGCTATATTGGTAAAATTTGAAAGAAATCTTATCGTATTTTATTATCTTATCTTACTTGTATTTTATTATCTTATCTTACTTGTATTAAATATATCTTATATGTATATAATAATTATAAGATGTTTGATACAAATGCAGCAGCATTTTCTTTCTTGTAAATGAAAATTTAAGAGATAAGTGTAAAGACATGGAAAATTTACGAAATGGGCCCATTTTTGGTAGAAGTAATGAATAGTCTAAAGATTTTCATGTATTATGTTAGATGTACCATGCATAAAAGTGTGCAATATTAGATATTAATCTTTTAATACTTTCGCATATACGGGCGCGTAAGTAGAAAAGTCCAGTCTATATAAGGCCGCAATATTCACTCATTACTTGACAATTGAAGATATTATCCAATTGAAACTACAATGTTATATGCCTCGATAATGTGTATAAATTCATTTGTATTATTCATAGATATAGTATCATATTTTTTGCAAATTTTTTGTACGCGTTATACGTGTTATATAAAATATTTTGAAATTTCATTAACACTGCAATATTAGATTTTATTACGACTGTAACTCGTCAAATGCGAAGGCAATCTGAAAATGTACATATGTAGAAGTGCATATGTAAAATATTTATTTTAAACATACGTGTTAATATATCATGAATGATATATTAATTTATTACTAAATATGATATATGATAAAGAGTGTTAAAAATGTAATATACACTTGTATTAAATATTTAATATATGATAATTTCTATATCTATTTTTATATCTTATACCTATTTTTAGAATTGGCCAATATAATCATAATAATTATGATACATTTTGTAACGAAATGTTAATGAAATATCAATATGTTTTATATAACACACATAATATATTCATAAAACGTGCCTATAAATTCTTTCGTGAGCAACTGTAGAACTGATACAGAAAAACGTCTGTCGATTAAGAAGTCGATGCATTAGATAGTTGATTGTTTAAACATTACTTTTATGATATCTACACGAGATATGCAATGTCGTAATATATATAACTATACTGTGGATTTTCATGCAATTTTCTATTTTTACGAACGAACCCTATCAGTTTTATCCATTAAATATCACAATAAACACTCTACTTTGAATGTTCTATGCATTAATACATATTACATATACATATTTGAATTCGTCACGAATGCATAAAAATCCGCCAGTCTAATGTTATAATGTGTAATAATATACAATGTCTTGCAGCTTCTACATACGTGCATTTTCGAATCCTGAGAATAAAAAAAAAAAAAAAAATACGAAGAAACGTCGAACATATTGCGAAAAGATCAGATCTTTCTCGCGTGTATCCTCGAGAGATATACCATGTCGATTCTTCGTGAACCACTGACCCACTGGGACCGACTGGGACCGACTGGGAAATATCAGCAGGAACGTCTCGCCGCGTCGGGAACATATATTTCGGTAATGTGTACACTGACCAAAAAACCATACTCTTTCATGGTTCACTGACCTCGTCCAGCCTCCTCGCATTCTATCTTCTCGTTTTTCGTTTGGTCGTTGTCTTGTTGCTCATCGCCAGTGGCTCACGAAAGTATTTGATCACTGCTAGTTTTATGAATTTATTATCCGTGTTCCAGGAAATATTTAGAACTTAGGACTTCGTTAACAATGCGACGCTACGTGATTATTAAAATATAACCTTAGTTCAAATTTTAGTAAAATTTTGAAACAGAGTTGTATGTAGAAGTAGCAAGTATATTTGAATCATATTTTTAATTGAAATCTAAATGTTTAAAATTGTTATTTCATAAAATTGAAGCCTGTTGTGTTTCAAACACTTCAATATTCAGAGGGACCATTTGTAACACTATTTATAAATGTTTTATAACTTCTATATGAATTTTCAGAATTTTCAGACTGGATTCAAATTTTACCAATGTAATCACAACAATCGTGTCTCATTCTGTTGCCAGTGAAAGTTCAATATGTTTAATTAATATATAATTAATATAACAAGTACTGTTAAATTAATGTTATAT